ACATTAAATAATAAATAACTTATTTTAAACAATAATTTTAAAAAATAATTTATTTTTATTTTTATTTTTAAACAACTTTGCCCCTATTCTCGTGGATGATGGGTTTGAAAATTTAACCCGTAAAAGGCAGTAGGTGCAATTCAGCCCCTCTACTTCTATTGTTGTGGTATATCAGCCCATTTACTTAAAAGTAGTGCAAGTCAACCCCTCTACTTGACAAAACCCTCGAAACTGCCCTTTCGTCGAGGATGACATCATCAAATGTCATCTTTCCATCTATATCCTTGTTCCTTCGTTACCAAGGAATGGCTTGGTGCTGATATGGCATTAGGTGCGCGATATGGCCAATTTAAACTATAAAATTACTAAAGAGTCTTAGAGCCTGTTTGGTGCAGATTGTGGGAAGAGCTTTTTGGCTCTAAAAGCACAAGCTGCACCAAACGGGTCAACTTCCTAAAGTGGCTATAGCTTTTGAGAAGCTTAGCTTCTCACCTTTCCTTTGCAAAGGCCAGAAGCTCCCATTTCTTACTTCCGCGAGAGCTTCTCGCTTAAACGTTTAATGAAATTGACATGGCATTCCCATTTTGTCCTCACACTTCTTTTTATTTACAAAAAAAACCACTATATAAAGGGCCATTTTATACCTCCTCTTTCTTTCCCCTATCTTTCTTTCTTTTTTTGTCTCTGAAGCAGCCGAACGTGCCCTGTTCTCCCTCCTTTCTTGCCCACCTTCTTCCAAAGCAAATCGAAAACATAAAAGCATCTTAGTCACCGGCCTTCTTTCTCCCTAACTACTTCAAAGTAGAAAACCCATTTCCCCTGTCTTCCTTTCTTTCTTTGTCTCTGAAGCAGCCGAATGTGCCTTGTTCTCCCTCCCTTCTTACCCACCTTCTTCCAAAGCAAATCGAAAATATCAAAGCATCTCAGTCACCGGCCGTCTTTTTCGCTAACCACTTCAAAGTAGAAAAGCCCATTTCCCCTCACCAGAAAATCCCCACCAAAATCCCATTTCTCCTCCTTCTGTGAGTGTCCTTCCTTTTCTCTGATTTTTTTTCCTTTTTTGGTGTTTCTGCTACTAATTTGGTGGTAATGAATGATGATGGTTGGTTGGTAGTGTGAGTTTTGGTGAAAGCTGTAATTTTTAATCCCTTGTTGTTCCTTCTCTTCTTGCAGATCTGGGCGACGTGACGAAGCAGGGCATGGGTCGGTGAAGCCAAACGAAGCAGCAATACCAGAGGGGAGTGAAGCGGAGGGTGTTCCAGCCACGGGACTTTGGATTTTCGAAGCATTGTGCCATTCCATTGTCTTCCTTTTAAGATCCTAATTCAATTTCCAGGTACATAAACAACACTGCATTTAATTTGTTGTATTTTCACTCATCCATCTGTTTGATGCATAAAGAGAAATTATGAGAATTTTAACAATTTATTACAGTATATATG